AAAGCTTTCAGATGTTATGAATTCTTATTTTCTTTATGTTTTGATGACTTTATTGATTATGAGATTTATTCGCTTTATTTTTTGTGAATTTTACTGAATATCTAATCAGCCCTTAAGTCAGATAAGCCATATGCGAACCAAAATACATTTGTCTGCATTTCAAAGTAATTTTCAATGTTTTGTTTTTTTATTTGATATCCTTCTGAAAGTCAAATCTAAATATACTGTATTTCGTAAATGTTTTCTAACTGAGAGAGCTTTTAATTATAGATTGCAATCCTTTTTTCTTTTACAAGTCGTGGTCTCCCCTCATATTTTCTTAAATATAATTTCTTACGTGAACTTCAAAAGTAAAATCAAAAAATACTTTACTTTAGAAAACTTTTGCCACAACTCCTTGTCTTAAGTTATAATCCGTGCGAATACCATATTCTTATATATCATATAAATTATGTATAACTCGTATAATCCCTTCTCTTTCTATTGAGATGTCAAATGAATTCAAACTCTTAATGCTTTTCCTCATAATTCTAATTATTGTCAATACTGTATTGCAATCACATTAACATTTTTGTTTTACTATTGAATCATTTACAAACCATTTGTTTATAAATATTTGGCCACATTATAATATTCCATTCATTTCAAGTGTTAATTAAATTTCAAAAAATGTTTCAATCATTGAAAGTAAAATAAATTGAAAGCAAAGCTATATTTTTCATAGAATTTCCAGATATGTTTCGATATAAAGGATGTAAAAATAAAACTAGAGATAGTGTTTGACTGAAACCTGCGATAAGAGCTGAAGAAGTGAAAGAAAGTCTTATATTAGAGATAGATTGGCGCGAAATGTTTGGCTCGGATGTGGTAATGTCTGGCCGTTTGCCGCCTAATGTTAGACAATAATAGCAGTAACACTGTAGTGTATTGTATCGACTGTGAGATGACCGGCGAAACGGCGATCATTATATAGTTTAAGTCTAGTTAGGGGTCAATACATTTGAGGTCATCCGACAGAAACTTGTTTGGAGGCGGAGTTTCAAGAATAAGGCTTTTTCTATGAGAGCTGTTGTGGTGGGAGTCGAGAGTCGAGTAGAGTTTGGAGCGAAGTGTGAGCCGAGAGAGAGTCAGTCATCGCTCTCACACTCGTCTGACAGCACATGAGAATCGACTGAAACTCTCAAAACCACTATCACTTCACTCATTGCATTGCATTGTATTGTATTGTTCGCCACAATCCCTCACTTATATTATACCTGTTCAACGGTCCCGACGCTATCCATACCAAATGTACCCACCATTCAATGTGTAGTTCATTATAACTAAATGTAGTTCATTATAAATAAATGGAGCCTTTTATTTATGTCATCCCATTTCTACTTTTGGTAAGTTTTAACCATTCAATCCAATATTTTAATCAATTCAATCATCAAAGTTTGAGTCAAATGTGAACAAATTTTATACAAGAATATATTACTAAAAGTGTTTATATATTATGAAAGTATAGTTTTATTCAAATATGTCTTCAATTTTCTATTGATTACAAAGTTGTTGTGATTATAATTGATGAGAGAAAGGTCTATTTCAGTTGATTCAACTCCAATGCAACCTTTTTAGTCAAAACAGTTAATTGTCAAAAGGATAGTCAGATAGCAGTCAGCGAGACAAACACTAAAAGTTACCCCAAACAGTTAGCTTATGTCAAAATAGATGCAATTATTATGGCACAGCTATGAGACTCTCTGTGAATATTAATTGTGTCTGAAATTAATAATGATTAAGAAACCAAAAGTTAACGTATTTTGAAAGTTCCGTTTAATATGAGGCCAAATGTGTTGCCTTTTAAGGTATTAATATAAAACAAGTAAAAGGTTTGCCAATACCTGTAGTGTGTATTGACTGCATTGAATGCATTGAATGACTGACAGATGCAGTTAATAAGAGTAAAGAATACAAACCGAGACTCGTTTTGCTTGTGCTGTAAGTTGTGTCTGAAATGCACACAAAACAAGTCACGCAAACAAAAGGAAAATCTGATAACAAATATTTTTCTACAAATATTTAAATCCGTTCATTAAAATCATTAAAATTACTTCTTATACTTGTTTCCCATAAAACTAATGAAAAGCAAAACTTTATTTTCCACTATTCATTGTTCATTAAACGGGATATTATTTTTTTGTTTTAATATTTAGTATATAATTTTCATTAAAATGTTTTTCCTTTTTTACAATGAATTTCAATTTGTATGTAATTGTTTGAATATTAATGTGAATTTTAATATTAAATTTAGTAATTACATACAAATAAAATAATATTTTTTGCCTTATTTTTTATATTTGGAAAGATATTGAAAACTTTGTTTTTGAGTTGAGTTGTTCCCAAAAAGTTATATAAAGGCATTGAAGGACTGAAAGTATGTAAGCGATAGGTCTTGTAGTAAGTGTTATGCGTTTGTATTGCTTTAGAAAAGTTTTTATTTATTAAATTGAAAAGAGGGCACAGAATAAAAAGTATGAAATGAATAACAAGGATAATGTATGCAAAAGATTTGTTAAGTAGTATAAAGTAGTGTAATGTAATATAAGGGAATGTGAGGTAGAGTTTGATATGTTGTTTGATAAATACATGTAAGACTGCATTGCGTAGGCATTTAGCACTTGAATGGGCCGTAGATGGCAAGGGATGGAGGCAATGGTGGCCACCAATACATTAGGCAAGAGATGAGATAGAAAGGGGTGATTTGGGGACTCATACCATATTAACTATTATTACAAACATCATAACTGATTGCCCTCAGGAGCTAAAGGGATGTTTCGGTGCCTTTTGGAACCGTTAGCTGACTCTTAATTTAACATTACTATCACTTATGATTGTAATAAATGATTGAATTGTAGGCGTTGGGATGGTAGGGCTGGTAGGACTGGCAGTACTTGTATTAACACTGAAATTATTATTTGCCGCAAATATGCGGAAAATAAACATTAGATTCAAATTAATGTATATTTAATGTTAGAAGCGATCGAGAGTTCGCTTATGTTATCGAATGGACCACAAGAGAGGCTATAAGTGAAGGAATCTCTCATTTGTTTGTCATTATAGCGAAGTGTATAATAGAGGCCAACAACTCGTTTGACATTCATTTTATGGCACAAGTGTCTGAAAATTGGAGAAAATCAAGTGAACGCATATTGCTATCAATTTTCAATGTAAACAGTTATTTGACAAAAGTTTGAGTTTGATAATTGAGGAAACGGTGGGAAGCGCAGGTAGTAATGCAGTTATGAATTGAACAATAAATGCGAGTGGAATGGCAGCCAATGAGCAAACTATTCACATAACTGATGGTCTGTTGTGGAAATGTATTCATTTCTCATTTAGTGTAGAAATTCATTGTCAAAGTCTATGAGAACTCTTCGGGCGCTCGGATCCATTGCCTGCGAAAGCATATTTGAATTCAAGCGAAATCTCATCCAAAACAGGAAAAGAAAACTATTTGAATGGAAGTGTTGTTAAGAATAATTTATTTTTCTTTTCACTCTTGAGTCGAGTTTTACTCTTTTGGGGTTTGAGTCCCAATCGCAAGTCATATCTCATTAGAGATGAATCAAGTGATCCCTAATGAGTGTGAAGATTGTGTTCACAATAATTGTATATTTGGTTAGCGTGTGAGCAATGGCTAAGTCTTCTCATACAGACATTCAGACATCTTCTCTATACTACATATTCTTCATCAGCCAATTAGACTCAGGAAATGTCTTTAAACTGGTTTATGAGCTGATCTGATGTCGAGATTTGGGATACATTTTACTCATTGCCCGTCACTGTTAGCATAAATAGCATAGTCTCTCGAAATGTTGTATATATTAATACAAGAATTAATTTCTATAAGAGCCTCATATCTGTACAAATGTGACACATATTATACATGACTTCGATCTTTACATTCACTGCAATCTATCATAGATTGCATATGTCTTGAGCCCTACCTGTGCTGGCCTTGGCTTGAAATAGTTGCGAAAAGTAGAAAACTTGCATTCATTTGAGTTTACATTTAAAGTCCATTTCCAAGCCATGAGAGAGAAGATGAAGAGAAGAGTCAATGGCCTCAAAGGAACAACAAATTGAAAATTTATTAAACATTTAAATCACGTCATCATTAAAGTTGATAAACAACTCTTCCCTTTCTTATGAACTAAACAACAATAATAATCAATATTTAAATTTTTACTGCCATTTAGTTAACAAATCAGAGTTAATATTAGAGTTTAAAAGTTTATTTTTCACTTGAATTATGTTTTCTGAATTAGGAGTTGCATTCAATGCCCAATTCATTCAATACAATGTTTTGTGTGATTTTTTGTTTGGAAAGTTCAAACATACTATCCCTAAGAAAATGGAATTTGAAAAAAAGAAATGAATTTTATTAGAGGGGGTTTGCAATGAGAATTAACATAAGAGAAATTGCCAAAACCACACCTTCCCTATAATAGCTCAGCACTAGAAAGTCGTGAAAAGACCTCAATTTCATAATTTCATATAAACTTAAATTAATAAACACTATATATAAGATATTATATTGTACTGTATATACGGTATATACAAATCATGACTTAAACCATTTCTACTTTTAAATCAAGTTTTCAAATCTTTTAACATTTATTTTTGTATGAAAGGACTCAAACCACACAACCTCTCGCATAGACTAACATAAGATTAGACCCATATTTCAAACTTGTTGTTCCTAAAAGTATAAGTATTTGAAATATTTGAGGCAATTCTCACTTTTCTGATCATATAATGCATACATATTTCATTCAAAAAATGTTGTATAACAAAGTAGATTATCAATCGCTTTTGCTTCTATGTAAAGCCATACAACTCTTAACTACGGTATTATAATACTTTGTAATACTTTGCATCAAAATTATTTTGATATCAATTTTTCAAACCGGGAAATAATTGTTAACTACTTTGTAATCATATTACGAGATATTGTAATGAGTGGTCGTCTCGAGTATTTCCGTAATCATGTAATCATAATAAGAATAAAAGCTATAAAAATAAGAAATTAATTGTAAAATTGACTGCATATGTAAAACATTTGTTTAAAGTGCACCATATAAAAAGTAGTTGAATGTTCACAGGACTACTGTATTTTACATAATATAATATTATTTATTAGAACTTAATAACTGAGTCAGTTTGCGGTCGTGTTGAACGTCTTGAGATTAAGAAATAAAATACTTTAATTAAAAAAATCTTGATTAATATGAAATTCATTACAAAAGACAAAAAATAATGAATATATTATTAAAAGTCATTAAGTATTCCAAATGTTTTGAACTCATTATTTACTAATCAATTTGACTAACTTTCAAAATAAATAACTAGATAAATAACTAGATAACTAGCAACTAATTGTGTGATTTTCTTGTTTAGACTCTGGTGTCAGTCCGTCATATATCGGGTGAATCGTTGGTGAACGACGTGCACATAGAATGTAACAGCAATGATATACTGGTGACCCTGAGTGCACCCAATTCTTTCAATGGTATGATATATCCAAAAGGATTATCAAAGAACTCGAGCTGTATGGCTGAGTACAGATCCACTGCCAATATCACCTATAAGTTACCGCTCCGTTCGTGTAATACAATGAGCACTGATGTGGTAAGTCTATGACATGTCTGTCTATGTCTGTGTCTCCCTTTCCCTCTCATTCCAAATACAATACAATTATATATGCATTTCAATGATACCATTCAAATGCATACAATCGTTACAATTGTTATCCATTTGAAACGTCTTATTATGAATGCTAGAGAAAACACTTTCCATTTGAATATATTTAATTAGATTAGAAACTAAAAGTAAAACAAATTATTGATTAATATTTCGCATCGTTTTTCTCGCTGTAAGGACGACGGCGTCGAGTATTTCAATACAGTTGTGGTTCAACCGCATCGACGACTCGTCACTAATCAGGGAAGAGGTTATCACATCCGATGCCGATATCAGACCCGAGAAAAAAGAATTTCCAACGGATTTAACGTCAGGTAAACATTGATTTAATGGCAGCCCTTTAGGCCATCAAATAATTGACATTTTAAGAGTTGAGGCAAAGAATATTCATTAAAGTTAATAACAAATAAAAATTATTTACTTCTACTTCTCTCTCTCTCTCTCTCGCTCTCTCTGTCTGTCTTTCTCTCTCTCTCTCTCTCTCTCTCTCTCTCTCTCTCCCCTCCATATGTTTATATAATATTCAGAAAACATGCGATTTCTCACAAACCTATTATATAACTCCACCACTTGTTTGAGTTGCAAAGATATTAGAATAAGTCTAATGACTGAGCACAGGTAGACTTGACCAGTCTATACAGTCTACCAGAACTCGGCCTCCCCTGTCAAAAGTGAAAGACCTTAAAACGGCTTAACATTATTTTATTGTAAATTCTCAGGTGTCGTATATATTACACAATAATGTTTGCGAATTGCAAATAATTTTCGCACATATAGTGTACACTCAACTGTTTAGTGCTTTTAATGTAATGTTTAGAGATTTACTTATTTAACCGAATGTTTCCATAAATATGATTGCATTCGTTGCATAAGTAATGCATTAAAAACAAGTTAACTATAACTACTGTACTGTATATACCGTATAATATTATGAGAAGTTTGTGCAAACTTACTTATTTAACCGAATGTTTCCATAAATATTATTGCATTCGTTGCATAAGTAATGCATTAAAAACAAGTTAACTATAACTACTGTACTGTATATACCGTATAATATTATGAGAAGTTTGTGCAAACTTTCTCAACAAAGTTTCTCAGAGATATGACTTTAACAGATATACTGTACATTTTTATAATACATTATATACAGTATACATTCTCATAAATATACTCATTTAAATTTACTTTTCATTTCAATAATCAATTACTGATTGTGGTTCTTATATCATAATACATTATATCTTTGAATATAATTATCATTAAATAACAACCAATATTTCATAAGTTTTTCTGTATTTATAAAACTCGGAATGCATAACAAAAATAATTTTATACACAAATCTACTTATAATTTTTGTTTTGTGAGATAGTCATAAAAATCTTAATACTGAATAATGCCTTTGTATATGATCTCTACCCAAAGCATAGTCTCAATAGACCATTAGAGCAATGACTCCGGGATTTGCTATTATATTGAGTTTATTCAGTGAAAGTCTATAATCGCCAAGAATTTCAAGTTTAAGTGAAACACTAAATATTTATATCAAAAATTATTGCATTAATTGCATCAAACTTTGGACTAAATTATAGAATACTGCTATTTTGCTTTCTATGTTATTATTTTATGTTAATAAGGCAGCAAAATAATATATGATACAAAAATGAGTAACTAACTTATTTTGTGGTGAAAAATATTTATGAAAAATGTATTTCTTTAGAGAAATAGACTAAAAACGTATGAATAATGAAAATATTTCTATACTATAGAAGTGATAAATGAATTAATAATAATAGTTTGTTATGAAGTGAATAGATGGACAGTAGTTGTTGTTATCGTTTAGTTATAACTTATAAGTAATACTAAAAACTTTAATTAATGGATGAAATAAATAGATAATGATTATATAATTCGATTAAATAGAGATTATTATTTATCTTGGTATTGGACATGAATTTTGTGCTTAAAAATTAATTTTTTGATTTATTTACGAATTATTCACACCTTTTTTGTTAAGATCCGGATATGAATGGCTTTTTAGTTCTCACTTTTTAATTGATAAGCGTTTACGAGCCATAAGTTATTATGTATTTGTGAGGCCATGTCTTATCTAAAGCTTATCGAACCTTTATATCTGCTGTCATTAATCAACACAAAAATATATTTTATTGCATTAATTGCATCAAACTTTGGACTAAATTATAGAATACTGCTATTTTGCTTTCTATGTTATTATTTTATGTTAATAAGGCAGCAAAATAATATATGATACAAAAATGAGTAACTAACTTATTCTGTGGTGAAAAATATTTATGAAAAATGTATTTCTTTAGAAAAATAGACTAAAAACGTATGAATAATGAAAATATTTCTATACTATAGAAGTGATAAATGAATTAATAATAATAGTTGTTATGAAGTGAATAGATGGACAGTAGTTGTTGTTATCGTTTAGTTATAACTTATAACTTATTACTAAAAACTTTAATTAATGGATGAAATAAATAGATAATGATTATATAATTCGATTAAATAGAGATTATTATTTATCTTGGTATTGGACATGAATTTAGTGCTTAAAAATTAATTTTTTGATTTATTTACGAATTATTCACACCTTTTTTGTTAAGATCCGGATATGAATGGCTTTTGTCAAGAGTGAAAAATTAACTATTCGCAAATGCTCGGTATTCAATAATACATAAACACTCCGGTACAGAATAGATTTCGAATAGCTTGGAAATATAGACGACAGTAATTAGTTGTGTTTTTATATAAACCAAACATCACTTCAGAGCTACAGATCATAAGAAAGATCAAAGAGCAGACATTTTTTATATTTAATGCTAGTCTCTCGGTATTCATGAAAAATTCAAACAAATGTTTTCGAAAAAATAAGAAATAAAACTATATTTAAGGAGAAGATCATATATTGAAGAAGAAAGTGACACCCCGTCCCTCCACTTCCCTACCGTCCGAACCTTCAAATTAGTCATTATTTGATGAGGAATTCCGAGAACGCTATCATAGAGTAGAGCAAATGCTCTCTCTCTCTCTCTCTCTCTCTCTCTCTCTCTTTCCCAACACAGACTTAAATCATATAATTTAAGACCTATTTTATGGATCACTTTTTCTTAGAATTAAATTATTTATTTGTTTGAAACTTTAAAATAAGCTTAACTTCATAGCGTTATGGCGAATGATAGATCTAAAAAGGTATTACTATTGAAAAGAAAATTAATTCAATTTTAGAGGACATTCAAACTGTTTAGAAAATTGTCGTTAAATTACGGCATGAAATGTAGTTTATAGATTAGGTGCAGGGTCCGGTCAATTGTTTTCTCAATGCTATATAGAAATGAATAATTCATCGCTTTTATAGAATTCGTGACTCAGGAGTATTGGCTAACACTCTGTGATTCAGGAATTTGATTGTATTTTCCTTTATTATTATCTCTCTCTCTCTCTCTCTCTCTCTCTCTCTTTCCCCTCTCAAAAGTGGCGGTAATTATTGTTTTCGCAGGAATTGTCACTCATTTTTATATAATTTGTTAAACTTTTTTCTGAAAACATATATATAAGAAGTGCCGATAAGTTCACGGAACCATTAATTACTTAATATTAGGGAAATATTATCGGAAAAGTTGTTTTCTATTTGAATATATTTTGAGCAAAAATGAAGACAAAAGTAGTTTTTGTTTCAGTGATGAAACGTGTATTTATTGGATGCATAAGTGTCTCAATAATTTCCTATTCTTTGAGATTTTGATTTCTTGAAAGTATTATACTTTAGGCATAAATTGGTTTGAATTATAGGTGAATGTGTTTATTATTTGTCAGATCTATGATCGAGATTTGAGATTAAATATGAAATAAGAAAACATTGAAATAAGTTTTGATCGATTTGGTAGTCGTTGTGATGGCTGTGATGGCAGTGAACTCTATTTAATGGAATGTTGAGAGAGAGAGAGAGAGAGAGAGAGAGAGAGAGATTTGAAAAGTCAGTGAAATGGAGGGGATATCAAAGTGGTGGAGCTGTGGTGGTAGTGATGGTGTGGTGGGGGAGCACAAGGATGTTTATCGAACCCCATTCAAGGCCGACACTAACTCTCAGCTCTTGCATAACGACTTCAGATGTAATTCCAATCATTAGAGAAGAGAAAATGTTTTGAGTGAATGTCTTGAGTGAATGCGTGCAACAAATCGTATGAGCCGTCCATCCATTCCCTTCCCTGTGCTCTCTCTCTCTCTCTCTCTCTCTCAACTAATTTTTGTTCTCATTTTCTCTCTTTCTCTTCATTTGAACTTTTTTCTCAATCTTTCATATTTTGGCCAATGGTTTGAGGGCTTAAATGTGAATCTCAAACATCCAGTTCTGTCTGTCTATTTGAATGTATGACTATATCTATCGTATAGTAAAAACCCTTAACAGTACAAGAGATCACTAGTGATTGTAACGCATCAATGATCACAATTGTCTTGTAATTATTTTATCTTAAAATTTCAAAGATAGAGAAAACTATGTTTTAGTGAATCATTGAATAAATGAATCAAATGATTGAATTGCAAACAAATAGACACTAAATTTTTCTAACAATTGATATCCTTTTCTATGACTGTGTGACAAATTGTAAGCAAGGTTTCATTTTTAATTATATCACTCAGTACCTTTTATTGATTTATAAATATATTTGAACTAAAATACTGTTTTTTCTCGTTTTGAAACTTATTATTAGTATAAATTTTGAAAGTTTTGAATTAAAGCAAAAGAGATGTCTATAAATAAGAATGCATTTGAAATCATTTGTGAGAATATGGCAAACAATAGGGAAATTTAAAGCAGAGTTGCCTTGAATTGTGATTTCAATGTAATGTAAAGTCATTCAGAATTAAAGAGCGGAACGGATTCGCATTCAAATTACTCGACCTCTCGCTTCACAAATCTTAATAAATGTTTGTTAACAACAGCCCACAGCCATTGAGATAAGCATAAGCGACATATGATATAATATGTCTTATGTGGCACTTGTAATGTATTCTTGTCAATCATACAGTAGATAGTCTGATACACAACCCATTCCTCTCCAGTAAGTCTCTATAAAACCAAAATGAGTTGTCATTTGGAGATAAAACTGCAAATCTCATGTGATTTTCGCAAAACAATACTCAAAGCATTTCAATTGGGAATCAATTTCACTACAATACATGTTCTTGACTTTAACACCAAAAGAGATACTGGAGCTGTCATTTTGGTGGAGTATTTTGACTGCTTATGCATTCAATACTTTTATTTCAATAAGTTTTTTGATTGGTTTTAATGGAAAATCGACTTTTATATCAATGGTTATAGAGATCCCAAAACCGTGGGGTATGTCTCCGGTCTAAACTCAATGGGGTTTTTTGCATATCTCTCTTAATATCTGTTTTGTGAAATGAGTCACTTCTTAGGGTATAATAGTTAATACTTTTCAATACTTTACATTAATACCACTTTTGATTCAAGAAATATATGATTTGATGCAAAACTTGTATAGACGTTGATTGACAGGGCATTATATACAATGAAATGATTCTAAATAATAGCACAATATATTTGAGGTCTCATTCAAAGTAATTGCAAATATAATTATATTTCAAGGCTTTCCCCAAATTGAAAGTTATTATCATAGATATCATAGAAAGCGAATCGGAGTGCTGTGTAGGTGTTAACAAAAAAGTCACTAAATTGTCGCCTCAATTATTTATAATTATTCACGAGACAATGAATTGTTAAAAATAGTCTAACATAACATAGCATTTCCTCAAATTAATTGATGAATTTTAATGAGTCTTTTTGTTTGTTAACTAACAGTATGATCGGCACAACACCCGTTATGGCAACGGCACCCATGCCTTCGTGTTCAATGAAGATCTTTGTTTCCGACACCACCAACGAGATTGTGGCCGAGAATGTCAAGATTGGCGACAAACTTACCCTCGCTATTGCCATTGACTACCAAGGTATTAAAGAATATACCATAAACATTTGCTTTATGAATAACTTAGCACAGAATGCAGCAATATTTGATTAATGTTTTATACTTGATACAAAATTTCAGATATCTATGGCATGAAAGTAACCAATTGTCTGGTTCGGGATGGACTCAATTGGGGCGAACAGCCCCTTATTAATGATGATGGGTAGGGCTCTCTTAAATATATACTAAACTCCAATAATTGATAGCGTTGTTAATATTCAAAAATGTAGTTTATTTATAAATGATTGAATTTGTGATGTAATAAATTGGTGTGAATCTCATTTTGAAACTACATTTCAGTTGTCCGGTCGATGAAGAGATTATGGGATCGTTTGAATACACTCAAAACCTGACCAGAGGTGTGGTAGCATTTCATGCCCACAAATTCCCATATACTTCATCCGTGTACTACCAGTGCAATGTCAGACTCTGTCTGAAAGAGGCCGGTGGTTGTGAGGATGTGGTTAGTAATGCAAACAATCAGTTTGTGTGAATTGTTATGTCAAATAAATGGCTTTCATTTCACTCATAGCCTCCCGATTGTGATAAAAATGGACGTAATTTTAGACTCCGGAAGAGGAGAGACACGAGTGATCTGATAGAAGACGGAGCGCTGGCAGATGTGCGTCGGGATGATGTCAGGGATCTTAGTATTGAAGTCTATTCAGGGCTTTACGTCAACGATAATGAAGACGAAGAGAGCGAAGGTTTGAATAATTGCGACAATCATTGAAAGATATTTTAATGATTGTAATTAAAACTGATTTTGATTTTCAGGTGAAGAGTCAGAAGCAAAGCAGTCTATTATAGACGAAGAGTTTTGTATATCAATGCGAAAGTTTGCAATCGGAGTGGCGATCGCCAGTCTCTTACTAATGCTGGCCGTCATTCTTCTGGTCGCATGTATTCTGCAGCGAAGGAGGAGAAGGAAAGGCGCGTCCACTACTGCCAGCTCTATCTATTCGGGCCCCTACTCTAATCGCGCCTACAGTAGGGATTAGTCTCATCTCATAAGTTATTTTTTAAAATTTTTTGTAAATCATTTTCATCGCAATTTTGATATAAAGTTTGTACAGAAGTTGAGATTTATTTGTAAATTATAAACCATTGCCTCCTTTGACTCCTTTAATTATTTATAACACTTTCACTAATATTTAAATTCATAAATCAATTCAATCTTAACTTCTGTACGAACGGACATTCATTCATAGATGCAAATCAACTAAATGTGTCTTACATTTAGTTGTTTCGCATAATTGTTAAAATTAGTTAATTTTTATATTCAATTTCACATTTGATTGATTGCCAAAAAACCAATCAAGTCTTACAAAAGGGATCTCTCAGTCTATTGCTTCTTATTTAAGGGACTTTTCCGGCCATTTCGGTGTTCACAAGCTTTTGTAATTAGAGCTACAATTGAAATGAAAACTTAAAAATTTAATTTAAATATTTATAATCTACTCCAAACCAACTCCTATAGGCTTTAACTGTGATTTTTATTCATATTTTTAAAGAGACTGTCATTTTGAATATTGAACGACAGAATGACCCTCATTATAAGTAGTATTTAAATGATTTAAATTTATTGTTTTTATAATTTATCGATTTTACAATTATTTATACGACTTTGAGTGTTATTTTGTCGTTACAATCCTTAAGATACAGCCTCTTATACGGTGACATATGAATTAAGGTTAAGGTTATTAGGGGTACGAGTGCTATACAATACTGCCTATTATTGAATTAACAAACTAAATAAAGCCATATATTAGGAAATATTTGTGAATACAGTTTATCAGTTTAAAATTCATTTACAATCACTTTATTTATATTCGTATGTATGATATTATATAAAGTGCTGTACTTTTATAGGCATTAATAACTAATAGATAATAGATTATACCTTTATTTTTGCTTATATTATATTATATAAGTGTTGAATACTTAACATATAGTTGAATAGTTTATAATCGGTTTTGAGGGACTCATCCCACCAAACATTCACATTTCTTAACCAATCTTTACAAGTTGATGACAACATTACGAGTGTTATTCAGATTTTCTTAATTAAGTTTAGCCTTCTTTACCCTATCATATAAGGCAATCATAAAACTATTACTTATAGACAGACCCTTATATGGCAGTCCATACACTTTATAACGTATTACTATAGTATAGTGCCTAACAATACTCTTGGCTCTCTCTCTCTCTCTCTCTCTCTCTCTCTCAGATTTTTAATAATGACATTGATTTTCATAAAGTTGGACAGCACTCTATAGTTAAGAAAATTTTATTCTTGTTATCAAATAATTGTCATAAGTCTCTGCCATTCCCTTCAAAACTTGTGCACAAATAGAGAATTTAATTGATTATTAGAAATAAAATTTATTTTAGTTATTGATTGCTATTGAGTCCAAACAGTTCCTCAGAATATCATTATAAACACTGAATTCATTAGATACCAACAATTAATGCAAAACCTGCGTTAAACAAATTCATCAAATTATATACAAAACTCATCATTTGTTTTAAGAGAAAGTTTTATTTAAATGGTTTGCAATGAAATAAATGCAAACAAAAGCCCAACACAAGGCAGCTATAAATGAGAAAAATAATTATTAATAGAGATTTAATTAACAGAATGTATGTTATTATAAGAATAACCATTAGCTTTATAATGGTAATAACGGCACCTCCTTATGGTCCGAAGGGGTGATGGCTTTTAGAGGGAAATGTCTTCCATTGTCCGGTGTTTCAATTTAAGTCAATTAATCAAAATTGTAAAAAATTAATTAGATTACTCTTGAGTTTATATATGTATTTATATACAACCAATTTGCTGAGTAATTTAATTGATTTTCTAAACACAAAACAATTTCCATGTAATATCTAAAGAAAATATTTGTATAATTAATATTTTATTATATTTTATATGATTTTTAAGAACTATTTGAAAAAAACGTATTTTTCTAATGAGAAATTAAAAGCTGTGATTTTTGAATTATTATTATGTAATTAAATGTTTGGAAATAAGATTATAGAAAATAATTAAAATAAATATTCTTTTAATTTTATGCATTTTTTCTTATCATATAATATTTCAAAAAATTAATTACAAGTTTTTCTCTAGTGATTCATAATATGTTGAAAAAAACTTTTCGGAAATTATTTTTATAACCAAATAATAATTATGTTTGCTATTAAGCATAAACTAAAGGGTTACTGATATGCAATATAATTTATTGTTATTGTGTAAGTAATAAAATATATATACGGTAATAGTTCTTACTGTATAGTGTGTGCATCCAAAGATAGTAATTATTAGACATTAACTAATAAACAATAAACCTAAGATATGCTATATTTTATATTATTAGGAAACTCATAATCAAATAAATCAAAAACCACTTTGTCTTTTAAATAATTTACAAATAATTTGCTCCATTTAGTGCTTAAACAATATTTTGCTTTCAATGATTTATTAAAGCTATTTGGTATAATATAATAAAAAGATATAACACAAAAAGTACTCTATACTTTATTAATTTACTAGTAAGCTTAGTTCAAAAAGTATTAATAAGTGAACTTTCAGTAATTTCTTAAATAATTACCGTGGTAGATTTTATAATAATATTATATTTTAAAGTTTAAATATTCAGTAATATACAGTAGTTTTAAAAATAATTTTATTTAATTTCAATTTATTATATTTCTATATACGGCATATTATAAAAATATTAATTTTCTTTAAAATACTTTTTTGTCTTAACCCAAGTCACGAATTCTATTAATTTGCTTTCAATATAAGAATATTTATCTCCAAGAATTATGTCATTTTAAAAATATTTGTATTTTAATATTTTAAATTACATTAATATTATCTAAATATTGATTTAGTTATTTTATAATTTATTGGTATTTTTTGTTCAAAAAACCGTATCATCTCCATTTGAAACTATTTATAAAAAAACTAGATTTTCTTTTTATTGAAATACAAATAAAAAACCTTTTCAAGAAGTCATTTAAAATCAAAACTCATTCACAAAAGATTCATAAAATTTTAATTAATGAAATGATTTTGTTTTATTTTTTCCAAAAATGTGACCT